TAGGATAAGATAAATGTTTCTGCAAAAAAAATACAGCTTAGCATTGCAGATAAATGTAAACTGACTCATTTTGAAAGATAAAAAAGTTCGTTTCTTCTGAGTGAAGAGAATTTCGCCCTCCCTCCTTTCAGGTGAAAAAATCACGGCACATCCTTATATTAAAGTGTTGGAGGTCAAATTGGAGATGTTGCGACCAGTTCAGTGTGGTTTTGCGAAATGGCCTGATATCAGAAATCAGGCTATCGTTTTTTTTTCTTTGACTGTCAATATGTCCGTATAATGCTATTCCTGATGAAAATATCGAATAAATATTGTAATGTGGGAAGATTCGTAGTTAATCCAGTACGATCAGCGGACGAAGTCGGCCTTATCGACTGTGATGCCTGGGTAGAATAGTGAGCATCAGCTTACCAGAACGAAGAATTAAACCAGTCATTTCCAGATTGAAATCGTCTGAGGTGAATCGGACTGTGAACCACAAAGAATGAATGATACGATCTGAAAGCAGGCTCGTTTTTTCACTTATCTGAGTTGAGACGTACGTGCCTTGATTAGTATCACACTCCTAGGTAATAATGTTATAACCTAAGGAATTCAGTCACTGGTGTGAATGATGCTCCTTTGTCTCATACGATACCACCATCTGCTGGAAACGAATAAAACTTAAGTTTCATGAAACGGCATACAATTGCATGTTTCATACTCGATAAGATCTTTCAAAATTTGATTGGGGAGCCTTACGAATGCATATGAATACGAACTTAGACATCCTTAGGGTGCAGCTTTTGTAGTCCTCTTATTGCAATTAATCGATTTTCAGGTTCATGGTACGTTGGATGCAGCCAAACCCGTGTGAGCCTGCCCAGTCCAGTTCAATACTTACCAAATCTGTCACAGTGGACTCTCCCAAAAACTCGACCAGACAGTATGATTTGGATTGCTAGTTCTTCAGTAGGCGTCAGTGTTCAACGTATCCAAGCCACAAACCCAATCATCATATTTATTTGGTAAGGTAAACAATGAGTGGAGCATTTCTGAAGTTCTTCATTCGAAACGAATGAGGGAGTACTCAAAACCTAGAGCACCTTAAGGTTTAAACCAGCTGGCCAGAAAGCGAAAAACCGGTTCTTCGCCTCATAATCAGTTTTGTTTTGACCAGCTGGAGACAGTATTATTTTGAATGTGCATCAAGCCTAGCAACCTGTAGGAAGAACTAGACACAGCTGATCACAGGCCAGGTTCAATGATTGTATCATTGTTAACCTAGTTCTTCCCTTTCCTAATTCTGTTCCCCCAGATCAATGGATTCATTTTTAGAGTGTGGCATAGATTTTCACATTAGGGTGGCGTGCACTGATTGACAAATTCATCGAACTCACCCACGTACTAAACGGAAAGTCGGTGGTAGTCTCACAACCCACCAAGACTGCCAAGAAGAGGGCAGAGATACCAGAACACTAAAAAAACGGCCTCAATTGTAAATGGACTCCATTTTTCACAAAAGTGCACAATATTCGTTGTTCCTGTTTAACAGCTTACTTCAGCTTAGCTATGTGGGACTTTAATTTGATCTCCCACGTCTAGAGGTTTATGTGTCTTCGTGAAAATTCAGGTTTCCAGCAACTTGAGTAACCGTATTCACAATCAAACGATTCAGGCGCCCTTCAGAGCACTGAGAATGCCACCGGACACAATTCCGTGGGCGAACCATCCATAGGATCTGTATGCTGCTTGTGGTTGTATCGTGCAAAAAAGCTTCGCGAAGCAACCATAGGTAAGAGCTTCGGCAAAAAACTAATCCCCGTCGCTCTTGATTATTAAGATGTGAAGTCAAGGAATCGAAAAGTGCCACAAGAATCCAACCACGGTGCAAACAAAGCTTTGCCTGATATTATGAGCAACTGAATAGGATATTGGTAGTTCAAAATGCAATGATGACGATTGGTTTGGTATGGGACACGAAGGTAATCCGTGAGATACCAAGCTTACAATAGGACGCCCCGCAAGGGTGGAACACAGAAATTGTTCTGATTTGTTCTGACACAAAACCCTTATATCATTGTGCATGCCGTGGATGGGTATTCTATCTCAACTCTTCACGAGTAAAATATTGGGAAACATCACAAACGAGAGATTGAGCTGGGTTCCAGGTGAATCTCACGTCAAAACTAAATTGGTGTGCGAATGAGTGTATTCAGCTAATTTCGTGTAATTTGTGTTCATAAGCATAAGGTTTACGGAAACCAGGGGACTGCGACTACCCGATGAGCCCCAATAAGGGCGAAACCGGTCGTGGGCTGTCGACGAATTTTCAGCAACCTTATGAGAAGTGCATTACAAATATACATGTATCGCGATAGCTCGAATGTCGTAGCGACTGAAACATGAGGCGGCCTGGTTCAGCACATTCAGTTGCCTGGAGATATCACAAACGGGCAATTCAGCTGGGTTGCTGGTGCGTCTCTCAAAAAAAAATTGGCTTGCAAATTAGTGTATTTTGCTAAAAACATTGGGTTGTTCAGTGTGACGTTCTAATCTGCATGCTGTGAACAAATCCAACGCAACTGTTTCATGAACGCGAAGAACTGGATGGTGGTACTAATGAACGAAGAACGAGAATATGGGGACTACTCGGCGAAATCCGAATGTAGCATACTGTATTGATTCATTTAGCCTGGTAGGCTTCACGCGAGAGAACCAGACGTTAATAGGAAATGGATCCAATACTAGGTTTTATCAACCTTGGAAAATAAACCCTATCTCGCTTGCTCTCTAAAATGGAAATTATGGTGGTATCTGTAAAGCTTTGTATGTGTAGGATGCTCCGAAGTATTATCAACAACATACTTCAAGTAGTGCAGTAAAGAAAACTTGAAAATCCGTTGTGTTGATCTATACAAACCGTTCTTTGTTTTATTTGGTGTTGATCCATAGAAATTTTGTATGATCGATGGGGCGCCGATAAGAGTGTGTTCACTAATAGCTAAAAACCGCAAGCTAGTAATTCTCAGTTCTCCCGTTCTTTTCCTGTACTCTACCAAGACTTTCTGATATGAACCATAGATACCTGCATAACCCATAAACAAGTGAAGTAATGTTGTCAATTAGACAATAGAAATTACGATTTCCGTTTAAAGAACATTCAAAGAGTTTATCTATCAAGTGATTCCTGAGTGGTGCACAAACACAATCCACTAACAGGATGAAGGTTTTGCTTTTCGCCAACTGGCCCGTAAATTTTGGTGGACTCATTTCGTACAGTTTTAGAATAGGCAGACCACATTTCACACAAGTACAAAAAGTCAAAGATATCAAGTGGGAAAGTGCGGTTTGAAAGGTGGACAAATGATACTCTTCGTCGAAATGGACGGAGGAGAATGTACTGAAAGCAGCCGTGAGTTAATTGGCAAATCAACGAGAAAATGAATCATCAAATGATGGAAATCGAGTAAATATTGTTACTAAATCGGCGCAACACGTGAAGAGGCTGAGAAAATGCCATCAGGTTCAAATGAAGAATTTTTTAATCTGAAATCAGGACAACCGATTTGGATCACTCACACAAGACAATGACACGAGCGGCATCGTCCAGATTGGTCCAGTTTAAGTGGACTTTTTATCTTCCGACTGCGCAAGTAACCGATAAAGATGTTCGTCGCTTAGGCAGCCCTTGATAAACTCTTCTTTAGTTAAAAGTTTATCCGAATTTGCGTCCATCTTCTGGAAGATTGCCCGAGTACGTTCACCTGGATTGTTGTCGCGCGTATCCACCTCACCAACCATGAGATGAATAGCCTAGTATGGGGGAGATTCAAAAATTCACTTAGTGTTAGACAACAAAAATAATACATGAGGATACTGCTATAACTTCTGATATAATCAAGAGCTCACATAAAGACATCACAGAAAAATGAACAAGCAAAAAACTGACTGAGGACTTTATCTCAAAGCCTCATTATTTCTACTCTCCCACAACCAAAGATGCCACCCATTTGTCTTAAGCCATGGGGCCTAGAATTCACTGAATCTTTGTCAGAAGCTTATTGTCATGGGTTAGTATGCTTCACATGCTTTTTCAGCAAACCATGTCGCCACACTTGAATTCTTCTTTGAGCTATTCGTCCCGCTCCAACTATCATCCGACGAAGTTTGAGCTGAAGCGCTGGGAGAATATGTGCATAAACAATCCATGCGATGAACTTCTGTCATGAGTGATCAAAGCAACCCACCGGTGCCGACAAAACAGACCTATTTTTGGAGCTTTGAAAAGAGAACATTTGTAGGAACATTCCCCCCCCAATGCTGCTGTGACAAATAACATCGCAAAACCGTGTCCTCAAACCGGAAGAGTGTGCTGGGTGCGGTAATCTGGTTTAAACAATAGTTGATCTTTCACAGGAACCTAACTCATTTATTTTAGTGTAGATTAGCGCATTTGAAACACTGGTCCGACCGTACATATGTGTTATATGTGATAGCTGTTCCCGCTCCAGTGCCTAGCGCCCGAAAAAGACTCGTCGATTAGGAAGTTAATAGTTTTATTGCGAACAAGCGAGTGTGACAGCGTGGGTGCGAATGTACAGTTGCCTCAAGCTATTTTACCGGAGGGCCACTGTCTGACCTCGGTCCGACGCTACCTCGCGGTGCCTGGATTTGAGACAAGGCTGTCACACGCTGCATATTGAGAGGGCGTTGTCTGACCTTGATTCAACGCTGACCCCGCCGTCTGGCACTAATACAAGGCTATGACATGCTGCATTTTGAGGGGGGCCTTGTCTGTCTGGTCAGTCTCAGTAGATTTCGGGCACTCAATGGTTACTTTCAGGAATCTGACTTTCTTGATAAAATGGTGCTTCCGAACAGGAAACAAGCACATTTGTGAATGAACAGCGCTTCTTGGAGTAATGATACTCCAGACCTGACTTACGTAAGGCCGCATTTTCTTCGTATATGGTAACTTAAACTGCTGACAGTAAGTGAATTCTTCGACCAAATAAGTGAACGACCACCATGGATTTGAGCAACTTTTCACTTTTACTCGCCGTCTTCAAAGTCAACGCGGTTTACATCTAGGTCCCACACCGATTAAAACAGATCACTGTAAGATTTTACGTAATGCTTATGAGGATCGAATTTCCGGCAACCACGTCGTTTACTCCGAACAGGAAAACCAGTTTCACTCTCACCGTTTCTGTGGAGAACATCACTCTGTTGGTTTTGGCAGAGAATACCAGTCCCCCTAACTCTTGCCAACATATCGTCGGAAAGTAAGCTGAATTTACGGCAGATAAGCCTTCGGTGAACTGGTGTTAAGTGGCCGATGGTCTTTTTTAGCTGAGCTGGGCAATTCGGTTGAAAACGTTACATCATCACTCGAGGTGACATAATCAGTGCATTGTGAATGCAAGTACACTGGGCTTACAGTCGCCGTTGCGTGTTGTCCAAGAGAGGCATACGATAATTTCGTGCACAGTAACCTAGATAGTTTACTTTCTCCTTCGTGCTTCTTATCACCATCAACGAATTAAGTGCACCAATAGTAAATACAGGTGCTTAACTACCAGACAACCACCGGCGAGGAATGCCATGGCAAACAATTGACAGGGCGGTTCGGCTGTAGTAACGAATTCAACCTGAGCCTGTTTTTTAACCGGGATATGGTCGTTAACTCTGAATGACTGCCAAGTGGAAACATCTCCATATTTGATTCTTCTATCTGGATGTAAGGGATGGAAGGCAGAACATATAACCAGTTACCAAATTAATAAAAATGTCCTCAATTATTCTTCCTTCCCTTCGGAAGGAGTCGCATGTTTCGGGTACTTAAACAGGAAGCAAAGTGGACTGCCTGGAAAGTACTCATGTATAACTTAAAAAGTGACTGGCATCAAACTGAATCATTGAGAGTATCATCTAGGTGTCTGATAAGAGATCTATCCAAAAACTATGCTGCACTAAATCGTGGTCAGATTGTAAATTTATTCAAAATGATCGGGTTCTGAGGGGAATATCATCCCTAAAAAGACCTTCATTAAAACAGGTTTAACGAGACTACCATTAACCACACTAAAGTTTAGTTCAGAGCTCCCCTTCAGTTCATAAAGGGGACGCCTTTCCTGCAAAGACACAACAGCCAAATATGGAAAATCTGTCACGAGTCGAACAGAGTCCCGAATAAAAAAGAGGAAGTTTGACAAGAAAGGCCTAGTTTGTTGACAAATTATCGGAATTTTTTTCACAAAAGTTTCGAATAGAGGCTGAAAACAGAACAACTGAAGACAGCGCTGTTTACCGAACGATCTGTATTCATGCGTTTCATTCAGTCGCTGTTTACTAAAGTTGTCACGAGATAAGCTGTCAAAAGATCCCAGAATTCAGGAAATGACCACAAGGTTGATGAATAAATAAGTAAACGCATTGGCCGATTTAATTAAACGACCATTGCTGACAGCCTCACGAGCAATCTTCTCAATGGACTATTGATGCAGCTGACAGCCTGTGAACATGTAAACCTAATGAAAATAAATGTGAAATAGCTTACTGTGATAATTTGAGTCATTTCGGATTCTTCTATCGTCCCGTTTCGGTCAATGTCGTATAACTGAAAGGCAAGATCTAGTTTCTCCTCAGGATCGCCACTTTGAGTAATGCTTATAGCCTGAAAATAAGAAAAACGTGCATTTCTTCAAGAAATTCTGAATCCTGGCAGCAATACCGAAAAGTTTGCCATCCTTCAAATAAACCGAATTAGTGGAAACGCTTAGCATTTTTACAATCGAAACTACTCACAAAGTTGCTGAAAACTCTTCGACAGTCCACGACCGGTTTCGCCCTTCTTGGAACTCATCAGGTAGGCGTAATCCCCGAGTTTCCGTCAACCTTATGTTCTACTTAGCATTTTATTTTATTGTGGTTTGCCTAATTGTAGTAACAGCCTTCGGCGTTTCCACTGAATAACTGATCACGTGTACTTGTTGTGTTGACCTGACTCACCGAAACATTTTCTTCCACTAAGAACATTACGTTCAACACACCAGGTTGTGCAAATACCTTTCGGTCCACTTGTGGTCAGGCACTGAATTTGTGTTCTACAATCACCGTCAGTTTTGACGATTGAAGAGATACTTTTAACCTTGTACCATTTTTGCTACGCGAAGTGGTCGGCCTACAGGTTGACCCACTTGAGAGATGATGGATATGCACATGGGCGAACAACTCGCCGTAATCGATTTACATGCTGTGTGCGCCATACACGTACTGGCGCGTGTGGAAATTCTTGTACTGTTTACGCACATAACTGTAAGGGAAAATACACAGCTTCTGGGAGATGATTCGCATTTTTAGGGGGAAGAAATGCTACGAGAGTTTTCAGTGAACAGTTAGACTGTCAGACAGCAAGCGTGCGTAGAGGCAATGTACGTAAATCCAGGTTGCTAAAATTTCACTCGCCGAAGGCGGAGGGAATACCGGGGACACAATGAGTTCGCTGATGTTCCAGACTTCTCAAACAAGTCAGTTGTCTCTCATACAAGTCCAACGTTGAGTTTACTGGTTTTTAACCACACAGTATTAAGCTAGGAAGACAGCAATGTTTTTACAAGACTACCATGCAAGCAACAATATAAAACATTCCAGGGGAAACAAGTGACTGAGAAGTGCAAAACACTTCGGATGACAAAACGGTGACGTCAACCGACATGTGGATACACGTGCTTTTCATAACAATCTATTTAACTCATGCTTTCCCATTACATTCGATATGTGCACCTTTTTAGGAGTTAAATATGATAGGAACTGAGCAGTTATAAAAATCGTAAACTATCAGTACCTTCATTTACGTGAGACGATTTTATAGGATACGGGATAGATCGTTAAGTGCGGTCGCAATCGTAGGTCATCCCATAAAGCCACTTCTTTCCAGTCAATCATAAGACATTTTTTCGAAATCGTTCGCGTGTACTATGCAAACCAAGGCACAAATGCAGGTGATTCAGATCGCAAAGTATTTCCAGCTATGAATAACACAGACTACGCCAAGAAAACTGGTTAAACCTTAGTGCACCGTTGTAGGCTGGGTACTTACTGGGGGAATCGTTCCTGGAATTGCGCCTGTTGTATGTCAGTTCGATTAATGCGCTGAACGAGCAGTTTCTGAAGCATCACCGTCCCCTGGAAGCTAACTCACATTTAATGTATTTTAAAAAAATAATACTATCGTATTAGTTCTTCAGGAGAGGGTATCAAAGTTCCAGAAATCGATTCACGTTCCTTCTTTGGAAATACAAATCACTGAAGTACTGACTGTTTTTTGATTCATTAGATGTTTTTGTCGCCCGATAGCCATATCTACTGGTTTTTCGTCAAGTTTCTGATGTCCGTTATTTTTTTTGAGTTAGTGTTGGACCGTCCAAACCATAACTAACGGTCTGATGTCACATATGGAAGGCTTGACGAACGAACAACTCCCTCGACTTGAAACGAGGTGAGGATGAGTTGGATGCACAGCTTAGAAATATGCAGGATTCGAACTTCTTGAGATGCCAACTTAGGCGATTGTACGAAATTCGATTCCACCTTCCTCATTATTTTACTGTTGGTTTTGTTAGCCAAGGACTTGGAGACGGTGTCCAGACCATTCTCACTTAGTTTGAGAGTGAACCCACCCTATTGTACACTCCGTAAATCAAACTTGGGTTTGACATGCCCATCACACCTGCAACGTGCTACTGCAAGACTGCTTGGGCTCGGAACCTAGCCTCATCTTTGCGGATGAACCGATTGAGGTAGTAGAAGACTTGTTTACCTGAGCAGCTATATCAGCCCAAATGGCTCGCAAAAGTTGATATTTCCATCCGGATTGGGAATTTCAAAGTAGCTTTTATAAACCTGCGTCACCTGTGGCGTAGGCGTGGCAACAGCTTAACCGTCGAGAGTCGCGTTTACAATGCTGTGCTGCACGCCATATTACGATGTGGATCAGAAACCTGGCCGCTGCGCGCCGAGGACGTCGAGGTTTTCGGGGCATTGCTCGAGTCTGGTGGGAAAACCAGATCAGCAGTGCTGGAGCACTTTGAATAATATTCGGAAGAAATAACTCACCCTCGATAGATGAACTGATCACACTGTGTAGGTTGCATTGGTTTGGCCACGTGTCTCCTATGCCAGTCGACCGAATTCCTCGGAGAGTTATTTTCGCACGACCACGCGAAGGGTGGAAACGGGCCAGAGGAGGTCGAGCAATGACTTGGCAGCAAAGTATGAAAGCCATAACCAGCAAATTCAGCTGCGCTGGCGATTGCCGTTTTCCTAGCTGGGGACTCTGAGACAGGCTACATCAAGGCTCAGTAGCGCCCACACTCGCTCTTGTACATGCAATCTACTGCCTTCACTGCGTAGCTTTCTTCCCGATTCCCCCACTTAACAGTTCACTGACACTGCCGTATTTACGCACCGACTTATCAGCCCCCGCCTCCAATGCATAGTTACCTCCCCCACCTCCCCAAAGCATCGGTGAAGGAAACTGTGGCAGCTACAACCACTGTGCGACAAGTACGCGGTTCTTACAGCTGATAATAATAAAGGTGATGATGATTGTTCACCTGATAACCACTGAATTCTTCATGCAGGGCTAGGTTTCGGTCTTCTCTCTGTGTGTTTGTAGTTACTGCTGAATTCAATGGCTTACATGAGTCAGCAAAAGCACAACACTGACTCCTATGGTTCTTGAAGTGAAAGTCGTGGCAGAATGGATATCACCTGCTGCCAACAGCCTGTGAAACCCTATGTTCCGTTGAGTATCGTCATTGTCAGCAGTCTTAGCTGCTACGTCATCTCTCCCGTATTTTGATCAAACTTATGCTCCATCTGTTCTTTTTTTTGAAGCTTCGGGTAAAAAACAGCATTCTCAGTCTTGGTGTGCATGCTGTTGCTTAAAGCAACAAACGTTGTCAATTGGGAATCGTACTTAGTTTTGCCAAACTAGAGCAGTTCAAAGGGTAGGATTGAAATGCCTTATCAGGTACTAACGAGGGTGGTGAAATATACTCATCTGCATACCGATTAGATACTGACGGGAGACTCACCTGGAGCCCAGATGAATTCCTCGTTTAAGATGTTCCTAAGCAAACTTATGAGTAGTGTGTTAGGTTTCGTAACTAAAGAAGGTCCTCATTTGACCAGCCTACTATGCACAATGAATGAAATTGTTATGCTTTCATTGAGGCCAACTGTTCCTGTAAATTACTTTTAGAACAGCGCTTTATACCCTTTTACCCCCGGAATGACATATGTGCATATTATCAGGACGGGGGTAGTAAACCTGTGACTTTGCCTGTTTGGCTACTCCAAGCCCACGTTCCGGAAAAAAAATCAGAATGGAGAATGAAGCGTCGCGACAGACGAAGTGAAGAGTACGGTTCAAAATTTGTTTGGAGCCATAGTGGTCTATGTAGCTACATTGGGCCTTTCAGGGCCGTGTTTCTCAAGCATTAAAAAAGTCATGAGCTAGTAAAATAGGACCTATCCGTAAGGCATTACACGACAGATGATAACACTTACGGTGAGAAACTCTGTAAAATCAATGTTACCACTTCCATCTTGGTCGAAAGTGCGAAACAAATGCTCATAGAATGGGCGAGCTTTGCCATCAGGGAAGAACTGTGTGTACATGCTGAGGAACGTAGCACGATTGAGTAGGCCGGATGGACAGTCTTTCTAAAATTTCAGAAAACACAAGGCTGATTTTGAGAAACTTCAACGGAGATCATCTGGACATTCATGTGCTTCAACATCGAACAATGATTAGTTACATAATCATTATTTTTGTACGAAAAAATCCACATAGTGATGTTTGAACATGTGGATAACCTGAAACCATAAACAGCAACTATAGACAAAATAAAATGTAACGATTGTTCGAAGGTTTATATAGGTCGGACAGCCGGGGAATTGCGCACCAAAATCGGTGATTATAAGCGATGCCTTAACAGACCATCGAGAACCGTAGGTGAATATCAGGCGACAGTCAAAGACTCGGTAATGGCAGGTCATACACTGGAAACTGGGCACAAGATAGATTTGGAAAATGTGGACATTCTGAGACGAGGACTAAGATTCACACTACGACTGGTGGCCAAGGCGATGTAAATGTCCAAGTATTCCTGGGTGAACAGAATAGAAAGCTTAGAACTAGCAAGCGAGTAAAGAGCGGTATTGGATCGGCTAAGATGATACGAGGTGATGTGCAGTTATCAGCAAAATAGTCTGTGTCTAAAATCACAAAATCCAAGCAGAGTATGATCCAATTACCCACTCACCCCCCAACCCCAAACCAATAGTCCCAGCACCCCTCGACAAAGACAGGTGAATAAAATCTGTGGATATTCCATTGAGGTGTCCTAGACCATAAAAACAAGGCCACAAAACGTGATTTCAACAAAAAAACAACCCCTCATAACTAATCTGTCGTAGATGCTAGTCATCCCTACTAACCGACCAACAAGAACTTCAGACCGACACCCAGCAGTGATCAAGTCGGCTATTCATGAGAAATCTCATGGATTGCTTCCCTGACTGTCTTAAAACCCGATCAGTCTGGTTGCTTACTTATTTGGCCCGAAAAGCTATTAGGTTAGGAGCAATGAATCCACCGATTATTTACCAAACCTCTCTGAGATGATGACTACCCCATCGGTCCCAAACATTTTAAAATCGATTGAAAGGCTCACTGGCCGGTACCTGAAATTGTAAACACTGCCGTACAAAGGGGTATCGCGGTGTGATCACTGGAAGTGAATGGACAGATGTAAGCTGTCATCCGGATTGACATGTTCACAGGTGTGGTCTAGGGAACAGTAACCTTTAAATAGGGCGGGAGGTGATAGGAGATAGATAGATGGGGGCTTTATCAATAGCAGTTCACTTATTCGCCCGGCTGTATACAGCAACTAACGGGACTAGGCTTACTTGAATAGGAGGCTACATATGTGAAATGAAGGTTTACTTGGTTGTATACTTCATTTTTGTACGTGGGTTGAGATACTGCTATATTTGGCAGGCTGGTGATTAGAACCTTCAGTCAGTTTGGGTCGAAAATTTGTGTGCAAGGCAGCAGTGACTAGCGTAAATCCACCCTGATAGCCTAGCATTTCTTTAGGAAACGATGCACCACCTTTATTCAACCCCCCCACCCCCGACCCTGAGGGCCAGAAGACTGTTTGTCAAACCCGTGTCCGCTTAACAAGCTGGCAGAAGAAACCCTGTGGTTTGTGCACGGGCATCCTGCAGTAAAGCTTAGCAGGTTGCTGACAGGATTGCAAGCCATCCTTACACCTACCAGTCTCTTCACGATGGAGCTCACGCAAAACGGAGAACATTCTCAATGTGAACACCCGCCAACAATCTAAGTTATTCCCTGATTTTGAAATCAATCCCCGTTTACTAAACGCAAAACATGTAAATATGCGCGATGCTGGGGTGGGAAATGCTAATACGGTCGATTTACCGTGGGCGCATAAAATCACAGTTCAGAGATTGAGACGTTTATAATCATTCATTAGTGAGGGTGCCGTCTTAGTATAGCTTCGAAAGAAATCCGCAGGATTTCAGGTCCATAATTCTTTCAAACACTTTTGTTTGCTGTCGTTAGTCCATCCACCGGAGTACGTATCTCCACACACCCTTCTTGAAGGCTCATGTCCTGAGAGGTATCCAGAACAGGTGTTTTATAAGCGCAGTACTAATTTCCGTAATTAGGCTTTGTTAACAAATACACTGGCGATTCACCGTCCAAGTATTCGCCGACAGAAGGGATAAAGCATTTGGCTGGTAGTGTCTTATTAAGGGATCTGCAGCGACTCTAGTGCTTAGTGTATTCAAAAGGTATTAACACGTTCGATATGAACGGCACACATAAACAATAAATACCCCGTGATTTGGCCCCACGTATGGGGGATTTGTTCTTCTTCCCAGGAGACCCAACGAGACCTTATAAGTCGTACATTTCCTCGAAAGGAAGATATGAACTTGCACATGTGTTGTGCCCACACTGCTTAAACACTGGAAAACATTTCTCTCGGTGCCCGTCAAGATCGATGAACCTCTGGACGCTATCCGGACACATCTGACATAACATTCTACATTGAGCGGTTTCTTTGGGTTTCGCACTGACTTCCACTGTTCTTTGCTGGTCACACTTTACAGTTCATCTTAGGTTAGTTTAGGAAGGAATCCGAGTCGATCAATAAGCATTTACCGAAATGTTCGACCGATAATAGATTGCGATACTTTTGGCGGCTAACATAGCGTCCCAATTATTATTTCCTCCACGTAGCACCGAAAAAGGTGATTCAAATATCATCTGTCTTCTCAAGCAAATGAATAGTGATGAACAAGTTAACAGTAGCTCTGGGTCAGTCAGCCGTTTGGTCTACGAAACAAGCGTAGCAGTGTTTCTCACCCTGTCAATATACCGTACAGTGTTATAGGCTACAAAATAAAAATGATGGTCAACAGAGTACCCAACTAAGACTAGTAGTATGTTTCTGAAGAATCAAACGAGCTGAGAAAACATAAAAGTGGCAGGCACAGAAGTGTTTCACACACAACCACGAACAAAGTGTTTGTGCAGTATGAGGATGGGGGGTTTAAGTGGTCATTCGATTTGTCAAATACTGTTTTTATTCAGATAAGAACCGATCTTGACAACGTAATTGTGATGCATCTTAACATGATTTCACAAATAAAATCAGCGGACCTGTTTGGTGGGCGGCAAGAATTCGTCATCGCTGAACGTCAAAATTCACATGTGTTGATGTACAATCAACCAGAACAATGACAAACAAAGACAGTGGGTGTTAGACTGGTTGCCAGGATCATTTTTTACGTATAGTCGGGCAGCTGAACAGTTGGTGCTTTCCACCACACTGTTGTTGTGGCATAGCCGAGAGCGAAAACATTGTAACAGAGACATGCCGAGCGTACAGCAGTCTGTTTAATCTCTGTTGACAACCGCATTGATTTGTGGATACAAACTGCGTTAGGAAACCTAGAACTTGCCAACATTTTACATGCGTGTTTAATCGATGACGTGTTTGCTTAGCTGGGTTGAAACGTGAGTAGGTGAGTAGAAGAGATGAAATTGTGCCATACGCATCTGACTGGATAATCAACGTTGCTCACATTTGTGCTAATTTAGAGAACAGTTTTTCAACAGACGCTCTTAGAATGTTTCCGAGTTTTGTTTCGTTTACAGTAAAACCTGGTGTTCTGATCTACGGTATTGTAAGTAAAACAACTACGGTAATCGTCTGGGAACGAAACCACCACGAAGAAAGCATTAATTTGGCCTCTGCTAAAGGATAAATTCTCTAAAGAGGAAGGCAATACTTTCTATCCAACATCAATATATAGAGACCTTAAAACTTGCCGAACATGTGGAACCTTGTGCAACCCCTACTGGAAAGGGATTTTTCCAAACCGTTTGGTTTTCATCGGCTCAGCTTATTTCCAGATGTCCATATTGTCACCGGAGGGGACACTTCCTAATATTCCATTGAAACTATGGTCATTGATTCAAGTTTAGTTAGTTGGTTGGTTAGTTCACTAGCTGGATGATTTCTGTTGATGTTGCCTGTGGATTTCGCTTGTTTGTTTTTGTTTTTCACAGTGGACTTACGTAATTAATAAGCTGTGATCCCCGGTTCAGTTTGAACAAAAACAAATGTGAAAAACAATGCTGCAGGAAGAATTCACTTGGTACCATCTCGTCCGTAGCAATACTTGTGAAACGGGATAAAATGGCACAGAATACAGCGCTAATTGAATGGTTTATATGGAACCCAGCTGTCACATGACCCAAGAACAAAATCAAAGCAGTCTTAGATTGACTGTCGGATCTTCCTGAGTGTAGGGTGCATGCCTGGAACGAAACCACATTCTGAAGCGAACTCTGTGTAAACGACATTTAAACGGTATTTTTCTCATGGTAGAACACAGATAACAAGTTTATTATTTGCACCCGTATTTTAACATACGTCACTGACACGTTTCTTTTACCTGTGAATTTGAGGTAGGAAAGCAAATTCCTTTCTAGGCATTTTGATCACTATGAATATCGGTGGTACGACGCCTCGTTCCTACGAACGAAATTCTACCTGGAACGGGCATGCTCTACGTTTTACAGGCCTCTATCCCATGCAGTACAAATTTGCCTTACTTCACATTTTATCACATAATGCGCGGCTAATCTACATTCCAAATAAGCCCGCTGAGGAGGCTGAATTGCCAAAACGTGCTGAGGTCGGGTAACCACCCTGAACGTTTCATTAAAATGTCTCAGAATTAGTGAAAACGGGTGCAAACCATGGTACCGAAGAAGTTCATTCACCCGGAGGTCTTTTATACTGGTGGCCACGCTTTCATTCGACTTGAGCGGACCTTAAACGTGGCCCTGTGCCACACTGCAGACGCTTAGGGCATGTCATTCTCACCAACCAACCAGTCACTACTCACCACTAGTACAACCAGTTTCCCTGCAGTTACGGATCGCGTACATTGGTAGAAGTAACCGGAGGCCAGAAACACGAGCAAAAAACCGAGCAAATTCGTATGCTGTTGGATTATACGGATTTGATATGGAAAGAGTCAAAAACAAAGTCATCGATTACCAGACATCCGGTCGAGACGGGACACACAGGTGAACTTCGCTGCTAGTT